AAAGCGAGGGGGGCTTTTGGATACTGTGGCTGGCCGAATCAGCAAAACCCTAGCGCAGGCAGAGAGGGTGGATACAGTAGTGTCCGGAGAGGGGCGCGGCTACCTTGGGGAATGGCGCGGGTGACGCCGACGCAGACGGGCCCGCGCGCTCGCGACCTGAGCACTGACGAGTAGTAGAGGCAGCCCTTGCAGGACCGCCCCTTCACCATCCCTCCCCCTGCCCCTGCCCCCGCTGGCGCTGCCGCTCCCCCTCTCGCCGCCGGCGTGGGGGCGCCCGCCTCCCCGGCGGCGCGCTCCATGGCCGGGCCACGGGCGGCTGAGGCGCGCGGCGACGGGAGAGGGAGGGGCAACGGCGGAATGGGCGGATCGGCAAGCGCGTCGGGAGGCGCAGGCGGTGGCGGCGTGAACTTGAACAGAAATGGAAAACGGCTGCGCTTGGAAAGGACAAAAAAGGCAGCCTAGGCGTTTGAAGGCTGCCGAGGCTAGGGTATCCCAACGCTGGAATCTATAAAAAGTTTCTGTACCTATTACCAGCCAGTTTGGTTGTCGAAATTTTTAGTAAAATAACACGATAGCGTTTTGTTGTTATTTAATAATTAATGTCCAATCATAATCTAATTAGGCTTAAAAGATCAATCTCGTGAATTTCGTCTAAACTGTGTAATTAGTTTTATTTTTTATTTATATTTAATGCTTCATGCATGCGTCTAAAGATTCGATGTGACGAGAAATCTTAAAAATTTGGCATTTTGGGAGGGAACTAAACAGGGCCTACATATAAAAACTATGATCTCAATTGATAATTTCTATAGAATAATTTTTTATCCAATCACGTACATTCTCTCTATTCTCTACTAAACACGTACATTCATGTCTTGATTCTCGTGTAGACATGGTTTCTAATTTAGACCTGGTTTTTATGATTTTTTGCTCTCTCTTCAATAACTACATTGTCACATCAGTAAAACACTTAGGTGGCAGTACAATTAATGTCCATAAAACTATGTTGTTTTCTACATTGAGAGTGCCCTTATACGCCACGGCTTCCAAACGAAAATTGACCAGTATTGGTCTTTTCTTCAGAAATGCTATACAACACCCGGGTGTTTTTATCACCCGGTGGCACACGATTTTTTTAGGCCGCGGAACCGCACGTCCACCGCGCCTACGCTGCCGTGCCTGCGCCCACCCATCCCCGCGCCGCCGCCGCCGTTGCTCCCGGCATCTTCCTCAAGTTCGGCGAGCTTCTTCCCCAACTCTGGCGCCGCCACCAAATTTGTCTCTGAAAAAATTGTTACTTGTGATTTGTGATTTGTTACTTGTGATTTGTTCTCAGAAGAAAGAGAAGAGAGGAGCAAGATGAACAGTATCTATGGAGAAAAAATTCAGGTGTTACCGGGTGCTAAAACACCCGGGTGCTAGATAGACAATTTTGGAAGTATAGATGGAGCTTGCGCACATTCGAGACACACTAGTACACTACCCTTTGGCCACAAGCACACACCGTATTCACATGTCGAAGGACATAGTGCAAATCTAGCAAAAAAAACAAAGGGTTCGATGAAAAAAAAGATTCAATGATCATCGTCTTGAAAAATCACTACTATGTTATTTATTTGATAAATATAAATCTATATTACCCCTCCACCCCAAGATATATGTAAGGATTCCTAGGATTAGATCTTTCTAATTCGAAATATAAGGACTCTCCGTGAGGACATCCATCCATGCGGGCTTTCCAAATAAAAAAAATATATCTCACATTCCGTCTCACGCGCTCGCCCTAGGCTCCGTGCTAGTTCCTCTGCCCCGAGCTTGCCATAGGCTCCGCTCCACTTCCTTCCCCGCACCCCTCGCAACCCTCGCTCGCCTCCATGACGTTAGGCTCCACCGCTAGAGTCGAGCCTCCCTCCCGCCCTTGCCCTCATTGCCGTCACCGGCGCCAGCGTCCTCCTCATCATCTCCTCTTACGGCTGGAGACGTCGAGGGCTTCACGGCCGTCGAGGTTCCTTACGCCCCGGTAGCTGAAGAAGATCGCAGGGGCCAAGTTCGTGGTGCTCTTCGCTCTGCCGCCTCCTAGCCCCGATCTGCTCATCGAGGCGGTTATCGAGTTCCTCAACGCGCCTGACATGGTGGTCGCCACCCACTAGAGTGTCGCGCTTGACATGTTGCAAGCGTATGTTTCAAGTATTTTAGATGTTTTAGACGGAAAAAGTCTACATAACCCCTAGCTATTCAGGGTGGATTACTTCACCCCAAACTATAAAACTGGATTTTCTATTCCCCAAACTTTCTAAAACCGGTCAAATAACCCCAAGCGGTTTTGGATGGTGGCTTTGCTACAGTGATGGTGGCTGTCTTTTTCTTTTTTATTTATTTCCGCTGAATCTTCGAAAAATCATAGTAAATCACAGAAAAATCATAAAATATAAAATCTAATTTTGTTAGACTCCACATGAGTAGATCTACACAGTGAACATATAATATGATATGCTTTAGTACAAAGTTTTTGCTATAGCTTTAGATCTATGTTTTTTTACAATTAATTCATAGCTGTAGTTTCTGTGGTCCAATTATGTTGAAATTTTTATGGTGGGCTAATTATTGTATGCTTGAACTGTAGTAAAAAATTCATACTCATTGAATCATGTATAACTTAGTTAATTAGACTAAAGAAGCTGCAACTATGAATTATTCCAATTAATTACAGAAAAGCATAGATCAAAAGCTACAGCAAAAACTTTATACTAAGACATACTGTATTATATGTTCACTGTGATAGATCTACTCATGTGGAGTCCAATAAAATTAGATTTTCTATTTTATGATTTTTCTGTGATTTACTATGATTTTTCAAAGATTCAACGGAAATAAAAAAAATACAAAACCACCATCATTGTAGCAAAACCACCGTCCAAAATCGCTTGGAGGGTTATTTGACCGATTTTGGAAAGTTCAGGGGATAGAAAATCCGGTTTTATAGTTTGGGGGGAGGCGAAGTAGTCCACTCTTAATAGTTGGGGGGTTATGTAGATTTTTTCCTTTTAGAGGTATGTTGAAAGTGTTTCATGTGGATGTTGCAAGAGTTTGTTCAAAATGTTTCATCTGTTTTTAGACGTATGTTTTGCAAGTGGTTTTGATTCGGATGTTGCATATGTTTCATACATGTTGCAAGAGTATGCTCCAATGGTTTCAGCTGTTTCAGTCTTATGTTACATTAAGTGTTTTCATGTTGCAAGTTGTAAGTGTTTTATATGGATGTTGCATATATTTCACATATGTTTCAAGTGTATGTTCTAAATGTTTCATCTGCTTCAGACATATGTTGCATTCAAGTGTTTCATGTTTCAAAAGTGTGTTCAGAGAGTCATGGGGGCACGACTCAGTCGCGGGGGGATCAGACATGGCGAGCCAAGTGTCGGCGTTCCAGGCGCGTGGCGCGCTTGGGTCCTACGAACAGGGGCGTGCTCGTCCTCATCCTAGCTCCCGGGTCCTGCCCGCGCGGAGAGAGAGGAGCGGGGTCTCCGGGAAGGAGCCGCGGGCAAAGCGACAGGTGCAGGGTGCGTGTGCGAGGCGGGGCGGGCTACACGCGCGTCCGTCCGAGCGCTAGCTTGCATCAATTAATTGTACTCTCTCTCTCTCTCTCTCTCTCTCTGTTATATAGCATAACACATATCAAAATTGTTAGACAGTTTAAGAAAATACTCAAATGAAGTATGTATGCATGGTCTAAACCCAATTAAGTAGTTTTTCTTAAATTATGATTTCTTTTTTGACAAGATTTGCTAAATCTAAGTATGGGCATCACATAGAATGTATTATTGTTTAGTACAAGTTTTGGAAATCATAATGCATTGGGAGCATGTTTAATTTTGGTGCTTGATTGAGGGGTCTGCGTTAATTGTGCCTCTTTCTCTTGATCATTGGTCCATGTACATCACAGTCATTTCTCTTCTTCCTTAAAATGTTCTAAAAAACCCTTATAAGAGGAGAAAAAACTATACACATGGAACAAATCATGGAGAAAAATTGTACACATAAAACAGAACATAAAAACTGATGGAAGAACTTTTTTTTCGAAAGTTCCACAGACCATTACTCATTAATACCAATGTCTTCGGCTGCAAGCCGGGAGATACATTCAAGGATTACATATAGAATTGTGGACTGGCTTGATCACTGCACATTGGTCCTAGCTCAGCCAAGGCATGCGCTACCTTATTACAGTTTCTAAGAGTAAACTTCACTTCAACAGCACTAAAGTTTAGGCAACCCACTCAAGTACTCCCTCTGTTCACAAAAGAATGCAATTATGGGATCCGTGCCTATCAAGTTTGACCAAGTTTCTAGTAAATATTATTAGCATTTATGTCTCCAAATAAATTTATTATAAAAATATATCCTATAACTAATATAATGATACTAATTTTATATCATCAATGTTAATATTTTTTAATATAATTTTGGTTAAAGTATAAACTGATTGACTTCTCGAAAAACGAGAATTACATTCTTCTGTGAGACGGAAGGGCCAAAAGAAAACATAATAATAAAACAGAAAAAACAAAACCACCAGTTGCTAACTGGGCTGTATACGACATCTACATGGGCCAAGGGGCCACTTCACAATGCATGCTGGCCGGAGAAAAAAAGTACGCGCACAGTGCCGAAGGTGGACGGGATTACGGGAAGATCACCGTCCGCCGCCGCCGCCGCCGCCACCCTGCTCTGGCACAGGGGAGCGCCGCGCTGCCCCTTTGGCCGGCCCTTTCCATTCCCCTCGGGTACGTTGCTTGTAGTTGCAGCGATACATTTGCATCCCACCATCCTGTTATTTGTAAAGGGTTTTGTGACGCATCTCGATCGGCTTTAACTTGAAGGCACCGCTGCAGGGATCGGAAGGACGAGTAAACGACTTGGGGTTGGGGATCGAATCTTGCGGGTTGAGTTCATCGGCAGGGGCAGATTGAACTTGGAGCTGGGACCGATCGTCGGCCATCATGGGCGTCTTGGGCCGGCGGTTCCTGAATCTGATCGTGGCCGGCTGCTCCCCCGGCGTCAAATCGCTGCGCCGCATCAACCTGGCGCAGCTGTTTTACCGTGACACACCACCACCACCATCAAAGACGACGGAGATGGAGACGCTTCGGCTTCCTCGTCCAAGCTTCACCTTGCGTGCTCTAAACAACGGATGGAACCTGAACTGCTTCCCGTTCGCGGACTCCAAGGTCATCTGCGGGGATGATCAGTCGGGGCTCGGCTTCATCTTCGACCTGGACACACGCAAGGTGGGAACCATGCCCCCGCTCCCCGAGCTGCCGACGGTGAAGCCCGTCTCCGTCTTCGCTCACAAGCCCCACGTCGACGACGACAGATTTTGCCATGACAACGGTAGCAGCCTCTTCCTCATGGAGAGGGTTCCAATGAAGTGCGGGAGAGCCAGCAGTTCATGGGCTTCATCAACCATTATCCGAGCGGGCCCTGGGGCGACAAATGCTTCACCTGCCGGCTGCCGCCTCCTTCCGCCGCCGCCGTTTGTACAAGAGACATGGAGCTGGTACAACAACACCCCCGAGATCACAGCCTATGGCGTCGTCGGTGGCGGATCACATGTTTGCATATCCGTTCATGGTGTTGGCACTTATTGCCTGGACACAGCAGACCACACGTGGAGCCAAGTTGGCGAGTGGACGCTGCCCTTCCATGGCAAGGTCGAGTACGTGCCTGAGCTCAAGCTCTGGTTTGGCCTCTCCGCCGCCGGTGGCCAGCAGAACTTGGCTGCTGCTGACCTCTCTGACGTCATGGATTCCCAGCCATGTCAGCTAGTGGGCGGCCCTTGGAAGGAGCTTGATCATCTGCCAGATGAATGGAAGGAATGCAAAGATCCTCAGTTTGTCAGCCTGGGTTCTGGCAGGTTCTGCATTGCAAGCTTCTTCGAAGAAGCTGAAGGCTCTGCTGGTGATCAAGTGATCCATGAACAGCGGCGGATGCTGAAATATTTTAGGGGGACTGAACAACACATAACTTCGACTGCTGCTCGATCTTAAGTCTCAGTCCTCCTACACTATAGAACTTTGCCTAAAAATTCATAAGGGCTCTACCGTGTTTTCCACAGCTCCGGTACCCACCGTTGGATCCGCCCATGTCCATGAAAATGCTGCTATCTTTACTAGTCTTGAGGTCAATAGCAGTGGCAAAGGTGGCACTGGCCTTGTTTAGTTTCCCAACCAAATTTCTAAAAAGTGATACAATAGTCATCACATCGAATCTTGTGATACGTGCATAGAGCATTAAATGTAGACGAAAAAAACTAATTGCACAGTTTGGTGGGAAATTGTGAGACGAACGTTTTGAGCCTAATTAGTCCATAATTGAACACTAATTGACAAATAAAAATGAAAGTGCTACAGTAGCCAAAATTCCTAAATTTCACGAACTAAACACAGGCACTGCAGGAAAAGTGGAACTGCAAATGACCCCTCACAGATCAAGACGTGTCAACAGCACTAGCATCGAGGCATTGTTCTATAAACAAATAATTTTGGTGCTTAATTTGCTCTTCAGGCTCACTGTTTTATCCATTTTTAGATGTAGGTGATAAGAGCAGCAGGGTCGCATAGGTATCTTTTTACCTTTACCAATTAGATGCTAGTAAGCAAATGATGAAAATCATCACTGTACCACTAGAATGAATGGTTACAAAGTATGCACCATAAACTGTTCGTCCGTGATTTGAGCCCGTGGAATGACGTGTGCCTATCTGATTCCTATACAGCACTGTAGTGCCGACGGAACGCCTATTATGTCGCCTCCGATAAATGACTATCCCTGGAGTCCTAGATGGGATCAGGCAGAAATGGTTGAACGCATCTAGTAAGTCTATGATCTATCCTTTTTTCCATCTATGCTGCCTCTCAAGAATACAGTTTTGAGATCCTATCAAATTTTGCAGCGACTTCCTGACCGAAGAGTGCCAAAATTTCAAGTTCTGTAGCGATGCTATCACTCAGCAGAAGTAGCTGCATCACTCTGCAGCTGAAGCCCCCGTGCTGATTTTCTCAGGAACAAGCTTTCTTATTCTCAGCAAGCAGCACACCTGTGTCTACTTCTGCGCTGCAACCGTTGATTGACTGGTGGTCATCAGCTGTTTTCTTTCTTATGTGATGGTGGGTGTGGTGTCAATGAGGCAACCTCAGGCGTTTTAGGACGTCAAAACCATGCCGGACAACAAGACCGCTTGGAGGCACAGTTGGTCGTTTACGATTTCGCACCCTAAGCTGCAGACATGGTGATTGTTTGGGATGGTATAGAACTATGGATGAATGCAATGCAATCCAATTCTTTGGACCTTGTAATGTAAATATGGCCAAGATACGTCCAGGTGTCATCCCGGGGAATGGAGGCCGACCCAACCCTAGCACGGCAGCACCCACCATCCATAAATGCCGCACGGGCGGCCATGCCGCCGGCCATCCCATTCCTCCGCCGCCGCCAACGAATTGTTTATGCTTTTCTTGTTGAGAGCCCGAATGTTCCATCCATGCCCACTTGCGCGTTTTTTAGTTCGAAAAACCTTCAACTTGTGGCTTTTTTAATGCGGTTTTTGTTTGCCGGTTTTGATTTGTGCTTCGAATTCTTCCTCGGCGACATTTGATTGGATTGGTCAGTTGGTGGGGGATGCTGGGGGGCAGATGACGACATGTGTATCCTGCTTATTACGAAGCAGAAGCTGCCTCCGCGAGGAGGCACGCCGTTTTGCTCGTCTTCCATGAATCCGATGCCTGCCTCTGCCTGCCTGCTTCGCCCCACCTTGATGATGGATTACGAATTAACCCGCAGCACCGTCCAAGTTTACTTGATTAGAATTTTTTTTCAAAAGGCGGCAAAAAATTTTGCAGGATTTTTATTAGACGGGAAAAGGAAAAACAGAAAGAACATAATTACAAGATTACACAACACCTCTGGCCACAGGCCCAAACTACCCAACTCTAAACACCGCTAGGAAAGCGCAGCGCTGCGGATCCCCTGGACAGGACACCTGAACGACGAAGACAAACTACTCGCTCCCGGATACAACACAGGAAGACGAAAATCTCTACTGCTGCGACTAAACCGTTTGCGCACTTGATTAGGAATTAACTTGTAGCAACGTCCAACTTTACTTGACTACCTTCCTGGAAAAAGGACAAGAGATTCAGAGTTCGGTAATGTTTGAATTCGATTTTAGTTGGAGGGACCTTCCTGAGGCAGATGACGACATGTGTATCCTGCTTGAGATGCAGAAGCTGCCTCCGAGAGGCTAGCCATGTTGCTCCTCTTCCATGACCCTGTTGCCTCCTCGTCCTCCCCCATCATTTCATAAAGAATGCTAAATACTATCATCGCCTTGTAAATTACAAGAATGTTAAATACTAGAAGAATATACTACTATCTACCATTTCATGTGCATGAAATATTTTGTCCAGAAGTGCTGGAATTGAAGGGTTGGGACTTGGGTTGTAGTAAAAACGCTCTAATGGTTTAAAAAATGTTTTTCTATTTGGTAAAAAAAAAGCACCCTAATATAAACAGGTGGAACTGAAAGTGAAACATGACAACTTCAGAAATTGTGTTAAGTGATGGAGCACAAGCATAACAAAAACAAACAAAATAATTTCTTTCCAGCCAGCTTCGGCTACACAATTCGACACAGAAAATCCTTGGGTGGTCATTGACGGGAAAATGTCAAGGTAGCGAATAAGATCAGAAATTCCAGCAGCAAAACAAAATTTTGTTTGAAGAAAGTTCCATGAAGTGACACAAGGTCGAAAATGGTGTCAACAAAGATGTTCAGCACGAGAGCCTCAGGTCTTGCTGCGTCTTAGATTTGCTTCTCTGTGGAAACCAAGTGCCCTGCAAAAGAGACGGCGTGTTACGTGTCAGCTCGATTAATGATGGGTCTCGTTTCCAAAAAAAATTACCCGGATACTTTGGGAACATATATCTCAGTGTCCTGATCAGAACATGTGATGACACCAAATAGTAGCCGACTTTCAGGTGTTTTATAAAAAAGAGCCCTTCAGCTATGCACATAATCTTTTTTTTTTTTTGCTTTAAGCTAAGCATATTATTCATGTTCATTAATTACATCATAAACATGTGATGGCACCAAATAGTAGCTGGCTTTCAGGTGTTTTATAAAAAAAGAGTCCTTCAGCTGTGCACATAATCTTGTATTTTTTTGCTTTAAGCTAAGCACATTATTCATGTGCATTAATTACATCATACAATGCAATTGTAATAAATAGGATAGTGTTTTTCTTAAAATCTAGCTATTTCTTTTTTGTAGGCTTGTTTGTTTGTCTTCTGAAGTTAACTGCTGCAATGGTTGTTCTTCGTCTTGTTCAAAAGCTTAAAAATATGGTTTCTAGATCCAGTGGGTTTTCTGCACTGCCGAGAAGGTGGAGTTCTTCACAAACATGTGTCATAAGTCTGCAAATGATCTTTTATTAATAATTGTTGTAACATGACTTGCAATGTATTTTGTTTTACTAAAATAAGAATGAAAATATATGTTAATTATGCAGAGGAACTTCTTAGGACGTTACTTTTTCTATTACAAGATTACAATGTTTCAGTCACTTGCTGATCACGAGGCACAGTTTTCTTTGGTAACTAAAATTCCACATGGAGAACTGATTCTGGTAGATCCACCTCGACCAAGTCTGATCAATGAGCATTGGCGTCCGAATCCTGTTCAGTGGTTTCTTGCACTTACATATCTACAAATCAGAGAAAGACTGTATTGCGAATGCCTTTGATTACACTAATGTCGGCGTTCTGAATGAGCTTAACCTGCTTGCATTCAAGAAACTAGAGAAGACAAATTGTGATCACAAAGAATATTCTGCTTTTGTAGAAGACTTGTTCAACAGATTCTGTGGCTTATCAAGTCTTCAGCGGCAGTTTCAAGAGTGTGGAAATTTTATCGATGCCTGCAAAAGAGGTCTGGATGAGGAAGTTCTATATTATCATTCCTTCTTTCTAGAGGATGAAGAGCTAGCCAACCAATATAGTGACAAACATAGGTTGCTTAGGCAGGAGTTCGAGCACCATCTTCGACGACCTAAAGCAAAAAAAAAAATCTTAACTAATCTAAATAGCTGCTACAGTAACACAAAAGTAGTTCGTGACTGTAAGAACCACATACTGCTACAACACTTGTTAAGGTCTCACAACCCGGTGCCAACGACACAAGCATTGCAAGAAGATGGTCGTCCGGTGTCGACGACACAAGCATTACAACAAGGTGGTCGTCCAGTGCCGATGCAGTCCCTAGTTTTCCTGGTACAGCATTGGTGGACGTCCGCAGAATAGCTGTAAAGCATGCTATCGAGGATAATGTTCTGACCCCAGCGTTCCGCATGTATCCTCAAGAAAGTAAACTGTTGAACTATTCACGTGTTGACTTGATCAGGACACTCCGGGTAAAGCATTGTTCTTGTGCAAAAGAGACGGCGTGTTACATGTCATCGGCACCGGCGACCACCTTATTGTAATGCTTGTGTCGTCGGCACCGAATAACCATCTTGTTGCAATGCTTATGTCGTTGGCACCGGGTTGTGAGACCCTAACATGTGTTGTAGCAGTATGTTCTAACGAACTACTTTTGTGTTGCTGTAGCAGCCATTCAAATCAGTCAAGATTTTTTTTTTGCTTGAGGTCTCCAAAGACGTGTTTGAACTCCTGCCTATGCAACGTGTTTGAACTCCTGCCTATGCAACATGTGTTTGTCACTATATAGGTTGGCTAGCTCTTCATCCTCTAGAAATAAGGAATGATAACGCAAAACTTCTCATCCAGACCTCTTTTGCAGGCATCGACAAAATCTCCACACTCTTGAAACTACCGCTGAAGACTTGACAAACCACATAATCTGTTGAACAAGTCTTCTACAAAAGCAGAATATTCCTTGTGATCACAATTTGTCTTTCTCTCCACTCGGTCAAATTTCTTGAATGCAAGCAGGTTAAGCTCCTTCAGAACGCCGACATTAGTGTAATCAAATGCATTCGCAATACAGTCTTTCTCCGATTTGCAGATATGTGAGTGCAATAAACTACTGAACAGGATTCGACGCCAATGCTCATTGATCAGACTTGGTCGAGTTGGATCTACCAGAATGTCCTCCATGTGAAATTTTAGTTACCAAAGAAAACTGTGTCTCGTGATCAGCAAGTGATTGAAACATTATAATAGAAAAAAGTAACGTCCTGAGAAGTTCCCCTACATAATTAACATATATTCTCATTCTCATTTTAGTAAAACAAAATACATTGCAAATCATGTTACAACAATTATTGATAAAAGATCATTTGCAGACCTGATGACACGTTTGTGAAGAACTCCACCTTCTGGGCAGTGCAGAAAACCCACTGAATCTAGAAACCACATTTTTAAGCTTTTGAACAAGACGAAGAGCAACCATAGCAGCAATTAACTTCAGAAGACAAACAAACAGACCTACAAAAAAGAAATAACCAGATTTTAAGAAAAACACAATCCTAATCTTATCCTATTTATTACAATTGCATTGTATGATGTAATTAATGCACATGAATAATATGCTTAGCTTAAAGCAAAAAAATACAAGATTATGTGCACAGCTGAAGGGCACTTTTTTATAAAATACCTGAAAGCCAGCTACTATTTGGTGCCATCACATGTTCATGATGTAATTAATGAACAGGAATAATATGCTTAGCTTAAAGCAAAAAAAAATTACAAGATTATGTGCACAGCTGAAGGGCTCTTTTTTATAAAACACCTGAAAGCCAGCTACTATTTGGTGCCATCACATGTTTATGATGTAATTAATGAACAGGAATACTATGCTTGCCTTAAAGCAAAAAAATACAAGATTATGTGCACAGCTGAAGGGCTCTTTTTTATAAAACAACTGAAAGTCAGCTACTATTTGATGCCATCACATGTTCACATGGACCAATTGTTGGGCAGAAACATACTACTTCCGCCGTCTCCAAATTATAAGACGTTTTGGCACATCTAGATTCATAACTTTTACTATGTATCTAGACATGACATATATCTAGGTGCGTAGCAGAAGCTGTGAATCTAGAAAAGCCCAAAACGTATTATAATTTGGAACGGAGTTAGTATGTGATAACATCTAGCCAATCGTGTGACGGGACATGAAAAAAGGTCTGAATCTCCAAACAAAGACAAAAAAAGTGGCATACATATGTAGATACATGCTTTTACTGAATTTAATTAAAAATAATGTGTGATGAAGTTGCTGGTGAACTACCAGTGTTCTGAAACCCTGCACGCAGTTTTCTACCTCTCAAACGAAACATCCATAAAGGGTTTGATTGTTCATGTGGAAAGAGACATAGGAAGTAGGAGAGACTCACAACTTGGACAGGTAGCTACTGTAAATTGCTAATGACACACCTATGAGGTCCCCTGCAAAGAACACATCAAGACCTTACAAAGTTATACTGGTGCACTAATGTATCAAAATGTACCGTGAATATCCCAGCTAATCATTATTTACAACAAATGTTTTCCCAAAAACAATTTCTAAAAATATGTGGCACGCTCACCTGCAATGCTTGCACTGGCTGACGGCTGTTGTTGTGGTGTGCGTCTATACTGTGCCGTGGCAACTCTGCAGCCACGAAACATTGCATTAACAGAGTGCTAATCAGTACAGCTACAAATTGGTTAATATTCTAGTCATATTATAGAGAAATTGGTAACAGGATACCTGTTCAGGGAAACTGGATATGCACTAAGCAGCTACCGCGGGATCAGCAAGCTGACATCCATCTGATCTGAGGATAAATCAATTAGAGCCACCTGAACCAATAAATGACAATCAATTAGAGTGGCGTACATATGCTTTACTGAATTTAATTAAGAATAATGTGTGTGATGAACTTGCTGGTGAACTACAAGCAATGTTGTTCGCCTAAACGGCCGTTTAAACGGTTTTGTAAACGGAACGGTGACTCTCCGTCTTGTTTAGCGCATAAACGGTGTCCTAAACGGCCGGAGCGTTTACACGGTTCTAAACGGTAAAAAACGGAGAAAACGGGCGACACAGAACGTCTGTAAACGATGATACGCGGGTTAAACGGGCCGTTTAGGAGATAGAAGGTCATGGGCGGGAATGAAATTTTGGTCCACCAAGAGGCGCGCAAAAACTGGCCCAATTCACAGTGCGCATATATATACTCAGAGGCCCAACTCATTGCCTTTAGGGTTCCATTCTGTCCGCCGCCAGCCCCATTCACGAGCACACTCATTCGGGCGCTACGGCCGCCGTTTGCTGGCTGGCCCTGCGCTGCTCTGACCCTAGCGCCGCTCGCCGGCTGGCCCTGCGCTGCTCTGACCCTAGCACCGCTCGCCGGCCGACTCCAGTGCTGCTCGCCGGCTAGCTGCTGCGTAGCTCGCTGCTCGTCAATGTGAATCACATCGCCACGCACTGCTCTGAGGACCAACACCGCACTCCATTCAAAATCCACCGTGTGAGGCTGTTCCTCCCCTGCTCTCAGATTCACAAGCAAGCTTGGACGCTCTACAGGACTGCAGGTCGACAACCACGTCAGCCTCCAATCTACAGGTAGTACCTAAGTCCCGCTTCATGTCCTCCATTCTATTTCACATTATTATCCACCTGTGGATTGAGGTTTACCTCCTGTAAAAGTAAAACCAGTGTATGCATGTTGTAATTTGTATGCTATTTGCTATCTAAGTTTCATGAACTAGTCTAGTTATACTATACAGTATACAGTATATTTTAGTACTATTAGCTGCATGATGTGACCCTAGCTCCCAGAGTGTACAATAAAAGTTCTATACTTTTAATGGGTGAATATATTGTATTTGCCTGAATATAAATGTAAAAGAGTAATGCTGCTTACATATTTTTAAGAATATTTGATCACAAGCAAGGTTCCTTATGAGTAGTCTTGTACAGATTGTTAAATAGCTGCCTATGCAGTACAGCAGTACTGCTGATTACATTTTGATCTGCTGGTGGCCTAATGCTCTCTTTTATTTCATCATTTGTAGTTGTAGGATGTCGTCTGCCGCATCAAATCCTTCTAGTTCCACAAGCAAACCAATGCCCCTGAAAAGGAACTCTGATGACATTGGGTGGGATTATGGAGTTCTGGTGGATCCAAACAACTTGAATTTGATCAAGTGCAAGCTGTGTGGTCAAGAAGTGTCAGCAGGGATATATAGGTTTAAACTCCATATTGCTGGGATTCGTGGCCAGGTTACATGATCTATGCCATCAAGCATGATTCTAGAATACTTACCACATTATAGCAGATTGTTAGTAACTTACTATTTGATTCCTAATTGTGCAGGTTAAACCTTGCAAAAAGTCAACAGAGGAGGACAAAGAAAAGTGCAAGAAAGCCATAGATGACTCAAAGAGAGATAAGAAGGCTAGGTATGCGGAGCAGCAAGAGGTTAGAGATGCCGTGGATCTTGTTGGTGCACCGGATGCTGATGAGGACACCACCGCGGCAGAAGTAGAAGAGATTGATTGTTCTGGAGGGAATGGCACTAGAAAAATAGGGCCTATGGATACGTTTACAATGCCTCTTGATAAAGCCTCGCTGAGCAACGCAAAGGTGACTCGGCAGCAATTAATCACCCAAACAGTATGGAAAGAGAGACAACATGCCTTGCAGCGCTACATTGCGAGATGGGTGTATGTGCGCGGTAATAATCTTGCCCATTGATCCATTCTACATTTTAACCTTCAAGGTTTCAATTGATTGCTGCATTTGTACTTTCTAAACTGAATTGATCTAATTTGTAGTGGTTTTTATTTCATTTCAGGTGTATCTTTCAACAAGATCAACAATGTAGAGTTTGATCAAATGCTAGAAGCGGCTGGTCGTTTTGGCCCTGGTGGAAAAAAACCAAACCAGCATCAGCTACGGGAATCATTGTTGTCTGAGGAAGTGGAGGAGACAAAGAAGCTGATGAAGACGCATGAAGATGAATGGGCAAAAAATGGTTGCTCCCTAATGACTGATGCATGGACTGACCAGAAAAGGAGAAGTATAATGAACATTTGTTTGCATTGCAGCATTGGTTCGAGCTTTCTTGAATCAAGGGAATTCTCAGAAGAGTCACACACAGGACAGCTTATCTTTGAGTATGTGGATGACTGCATTGAGCGAATAGGTGCTGAAAAAATCGTGCAAGTAGTCACAGACAATGCTTCAAACAATATGGCAGCAAAGGATATACTGTTTGTGAAGAGGCCAAATATTTTTTGGAGCTCATGTGCAACTCACACCCTGAATTTGATGCTTGAAGGAATTGGAAAGATGAAAAATTTCAAGGGCTGCATTGATCAAGCAAAATCATTAACCATCTTCATCTATTCACATCATAAAACCTTGTCATTGATGAGGAAATTTACAAAGAAAAGAGATATAGTGAGGCCTGGTGTTACTAGATTTGCTTCATCCTTCCTCACACTGCAGAGCTTGTATGAGAAGAAGGAGCAACTAAGGGCAATGTCTCAGTGTGATGAATGGGACAAATTCTTAGGTTTAAGTCATATAAAGAAGAACAGCAAAGGTGTCCTAGCCACAGCTACAATGACGAAACCTACCTTTTGGAGTGCGGTTGCACTTTGCTTGAGGATTTTTGAGCCACTAGTCAAGGTGCTTCGCATGGTTGATAGTGATATCAAGCCATCCATGGCCTTCCTGTATGGAGACATTATAAAGGCAAAGGATGAAATCAAGGCGGGCTTCCGGAACATTGATAGGCCAGGGAATCTTAATGCCTACAACAATGTCATAGAGATCATTGAAGGGAAGATGAAGAATAGGCTGGACACTCCGTTGCACTTGGCTGCATATTTTTTAAATCCATATTACAGCTACAACAATGATTCTATCTTCACAGATGAGCTAGTCTGCCTAGTCATGGATGGATTCATCACTGCTGTTGAGACCTTCTACCATGGTGACTATGACAAGCAATGCAAAGTACTCAATGAGGAGCTGCCCAAGTTCAGGGATAAACAAGGCCACTTTGGAAAACCTGTAGCAAAAGAAGGCTGCAAGAAGTATGATTTTGATCCAGGTACTTATCTTCCTTTTTATTCGTTGCCTGCTTCATGTAATTTTTGTGTGGTCTGTACTACTTTTCACTTGCAGCAAAATGGTGGTCCAGTTATGGTACTCAGGCTCCAACTTTGCAAAGGATGGCTATAAGGATTCTCTCTTTAACTGCTAGCGCTTCTGGTTGTGAAAGGAATTGGAGCTGTTTTGAAGGGGTAAGCCTTCCAAGTTCCAACTCAAATATGTTCGTATTTTTTATTTTAGAATTGTCACGTGTGGACTAAAACCAGATTTTCATCTTTACTTTTGTAGAATCATACAAAGAAAAGAAACAGACTAACATGTGAGCTTCTCAATCAACTTGTTTTTGTACAATATAATAACAAGATGAGTGCAAAAAAGGAGAAGGCCAAGAAGAATAATAAGATGGATCCTCTTCTAGCAACTGAGTCAACTCATGCTCAAGGATGGCTTGTTGAATGTGGAGATGAAGATGATGGTGAACCTGTTTGTGGGCTGACATGGAATTTAATTGAAGAGGCCTGTGGGGTTGAGGAATGTGGTAAACTCCGTAGGAGTGCAAGGCTAGCCCAAATGAGACAAGTCACTGAAGATGAATTTGAATCTGAAGCAGAAGAAGCCACCAATGAGGAAGACATTGACTTTGAGTCTGACCAAGAGGATGTCGTCCCACTTGTTGGGGATGATGAGCAGGATGGGGACAATGAGGAGTAGTCCCATTACTGCACATGCATGGCTGCTTATTTTATTTTGCTTTCGCTTATGACTTAGAACTAATTTATCTTTGCATATCTTTGAACTTTTGCTATGCCTCCACTTCCAGCCAGTTTGTAGCTTTTGTGTGTGCCTTGACCCATGAGTAGTCGACCTAACTTGTGGTTGGTTTGTGAGAAATTATAGCAGAGGCCAGAGGCGACATTTTGTGATTTGTCATGCATGAATGCATGATGCATATTTGTTGCACTCATGTCATATGTACTGAAGACAAGTGTAATGAATTGATGTGACCATGGCTCATGACGTGATATTATTCTTGGTTCTAGCTATCTGCTTGTGAGTTGTGACTTTGATAGTGTCTGAAAATCTGAAAATTTAATTTTTTATATGCATAAATATATATTTTTGGGTGAAATTATACAAATCCGTTTAGTCCGTTTAAACGCCGTTTAAACCGTCTAAACGGTAAACAGAGGGTGGCCGACTGTTTAGCGTTTAGGAAAACATTGACTACAAGACAATCAATTAGAGTGGCGTACATATGCTTTACTGAATTTAATTAAGAATAATGTGTGTGATGAACTTGCTGGTGAACTACAAATGTTATGAAAACGAAACTGAACGTAACCAAAAAAATATATATATGCAAGCATCACCATTGATCAAAGTAGAAATCAGGTAAGTATATATTTTGGTTCTGAATCAAGCAGTAAAACAAAAAAAAGGGGTTGATTCAGTGTTGTACGAATAATCCAGCTAAATTGTTGGCTATGGACACATCACACATCCATAAAGGGTTTGATTGTTCGTGTGCAAAGAGACGTGAGAAGTAGGAGACTCAGCAGACGTGGGATTCAGAGGAGGCTGGCTGGGAGAAGAGCACCTGATTGCCCCCCACGATGGCTTGACCTTGATGAAGACCCGTCCAGCTCCCGGATCTCCGCCCGAACAGTGGCACCGCAGCGGAGCTTGGAGACGAGCCCCGCCGCCGCGGCCGCCTCAACCAGGCTGCTTCGCCCTCGACCCTGCCCTAGCACACCATGCGACTAGTAGACGACGCCCGTTGAAGCAGCACAAAACGAAACAACAGCGTGAGAGTGAGTAGCGATGGCGAAGACGGTTCACGATTGGGGAAGCAGCCGTACCTGCGGTCAGTCGCCGAAGGGAGAGAAGAGGCAGGGCGGCGGCGGGGTTGGGAGGGGGTTGGGTGGGATGGATTGAGATGCTTAGGGTTTGGGCAGCGATTGGGAATTATTCCTTGGAAAAAAATACCGCCGCGCGCCCGCGCTGGGTACCTGGGATGCCCTGACGCCTGACCTGATGGCTGCGGCGCCGAGGGGTGAGTGGCGTGCGTGCGTGTTTATCTTGGAAACAAGTAGTAATGCCTTGCTGGATCGGAGGACAAAACTTGACTGATGGAACGCTTAGGTTAAAATCAGTGAAGTTTGGTCATTGCAACGCTGATGGTGGTCAGTGCCGGCCCTAGGGGTAGGCTAGGTGCGATGGCCGAGGGCTCAAGCGGAGGAGGGGCCTAAGCCTAGATATATAAATTCTCACGTCCTATAGTTCATTAGACATTAACAAACTAGTGAGAAGAAAGACATAGAACTGATCAAGTGGCCAAAAAAACAACATCGATATTTTTTTGCTAGTTTCCTTTCCCCACGACCCTCGGATAGAGAGGAAGCGAGGAGTCACGCTGCACACAACACACTCTGATCGTGAGTTCGCGATGTGCGCCTTACACATGCAGAGCTAGCGAGCCGCGCTGCCGCGAAGAGCTAGACTACCAGAGACACGGACACGACGCACGAGGACGACGACCAGGTAGGGCTCCACGATGATGACATCTTGATTCTTGGCTTATTATGAATTACGATCACTGATCAGTTGTTTAGGCCCAAGATATATTTTTTCTTTTTATTTTTAATCCAAATTAATTATTTGTATAGTATTTCAAACTCCTAGTACTTTGTACCTATATAGTCTTATTTTTCATCTAATTTATGTGTTAGAATTTTAGAATGTTACCTAAGAAACATTTGACATGGGTGAGAAAAGAAAATGAATATATATTTTTTTAATCTACATCGTTCATCGATAATTATCATGCATCTACAAATATATTGCTTAATCTACATTATTTCTCGATAATTATCAGACATGTTAAATTAAAAACATGTTATTGAATTTGCTTTCGTTTTACAAGTAAAATTAGCGTCTATATATTATAAGATTTTATACATGGTTAAGATGAGCCGTTACAATGAGATCGACCCTCATAATCGTAGGACCGGCACTGATGGTGGTGGTGCCGTCGCACAGCTGATGCTCGGTCATTGCAACGGCACCACCACCGGCAGCAACAACATTGCCTGTGTGCCTGTGTGCTACAGCAACTGCCAGCTTCACCGTAACCATCCGACGGTCTTTCAGATCCTAGAAGACTGGGTCGGTCGCTTCGTTCCCCGCCCAGGCGCCCATATTGTTGCTTTGCATCGGCATCTGCCCTTACCCTCCTGCAGGTTGCCTTGCCCTTTGTACCGCAAAGGCAAAGGGAAATCCCCAGAGCCCAGCAGGCAGGAGGAGGCTGATGCAGTTGTGGTGTGTGACATTGCCACAGCACACCTGGCTGCACAAACAAAGTAATAAAAAGAACTAAACAAAGTCGTCGTAATAATTCTAGAAAGAATATGAAAAAAATTACATAGTATAGGAATCGATTTACGTAACAGTTTCCATAGATCGAAATTCTATGATGAAGAGTAGACAATATATATAGGGGCAAACAAAGAGGCCGAGGGCCGTGTTTGGAACCGATTAAAATCGGCTTCTCGCTCGTCTACCATAACAATCGAGCAAACGCCCTGCGGTGGCCTCGATTCTTCCGACCGCCCCTCTCTCATCCACCACAAGAATGAATTGCGATCTTGATTCTTCGTACCACGGCTCGCCCGCCTTGTTTCCAATCTTTCCATGGGAATGGAAGGGATGAGGTCAAGGGGAAGGGAGGTACACGCTCTCTCTTCCCCTCTCTCCCCTTGGGAGGCTAGATGAGCGAGCTAGCTTCGTGTGGACGAAGAGATAAGGGAGCGAGGCCGTCCACTCACCCACCACTGATACTCCTTTAATATAGAGAGTAGAATAGTTCGAGGGGTGTAAAATTTTAGAGCGTCACATCGGATGTTTCATAGGATGTCGAAAGGAATGTTCGAATACTAATAAAAAAACTAATTACAAACTCGCCTATAAACTATGAGACGATGTCATATAATGGGGTGCATCAACACATATTTGAGAAGTCAAGTATGTTCAATTCATTCCTTAGCTTGCAAAACCTTTTCTTATCAAGTGGCTTGGTGAAGATGTCGGCAAGTTCATCATCGGTGCTCATACTCTCGATACAAATGTCCCCTTTTTGTTGGTGATCTCTTATGAAATGATGGCGGACATCTATGTGCTTTGTTCTTGCATGTTGAGCCGGGTTGTTGGTGAGCTTCACGCACTCTCATTGTCACAAAGCAATGGCACTTGTTTGAACTTGATTTCAAAATTATTTAAGATGGCCTTCATTCAAAGAATTTATGCACGACAACTATCGGCGGCTATGTATTCAACTTCGACGGTTGAAACTGCAACACTATTTTGCTTCTTTGATAACCAAGAAATAAGTGATCTTCCCAATAGTTGACATATGCCCGAAGTGCTCCTTCTCTTAACCTTGCATCCCATATAATCGGAGTCCGAATATCCAATCAAATCCAAACTTTGCTCATTTGGGATACCACAATCCAACATTTTGTGTATGCTTCAAGTACCTCAATATTCTCTTTGTTGCCTTCAAATGACTTTCTCTTGGTGAGGTTTGAAATCTAGCACGCATGCATACACTAAACATCACATCCAGCCTTGATACGGTCACATAGAGTAGGCTTCCAATCATAGACCGATACATCTTTTGATCCACCATATTGCCACTTGCATCACTATCCAAGCTTCCATTTGTTTCCATTGATGTACTAATAGCTTTTTGCATCTTTCATTCCAAACTTTTTGAGCATGTCTTTTATGTACTTGCCTTGACTCACAAATATGTCATTCTTCATTTGCTTGATTTGAAGACTAAGAAAATAACTAAGCTCTCCAATCATAGAAATCTCAAACTCACTTGCCATCATCTTTCCAAACTCATCATAATAATCTTGATTGGTTGATCCAAATATTATATCATCAACATAGATTTGCAACACAAACAAGTCATTGCCAATCTTCTTGGTGAAGAGAGTGGTGTCAACGTTGTCCATAATGAATCCCTTAGAGAGTAGGAAATCCCTCAATCTCTCATATCATGCTCTAGGTGCTTGCTTCAAGCCATACAAAGCTTTTCTTAACTTATAGACATGGTTGGGTTTCTTCTCATCTTCAAAACTGGGAGGTTGCTCAACATACACAAGCTCATTAATGTACTCATTGAGAAATACACTCTTCACATCCATTTGGCATAACTTGATGTTGTGAGCACAAGCATAGGCTAACAAGATTCTAATTGCTTCCAATCTTACAATCGGGGCATATATTTCTCCAAAGTCAAGTCCTTCAACTTGAGTGTAACCTTGAGCCACTAATCTTGCTTTGTTCCTTACAACTATCCCATCTTGATCTTGCTTGTTTCGAAAGATCCACTTTGTTCCAATCACATTATGATCCTTAGGCCTCTCAACTAACTCCCATACTTGATTTCTCTTGAAGGTGTTTAGCTCTTCATACATGGCATTGACCCAATCAACATCCTTTAAATTTTATCTATCTTCTTAGGTTCAATAGATAACACAAATGAGAAGTGTTCATAAAATGATGCAAATCTTGATCTTGTTTGTACACCTCTTGAGATATCATCAATTATAGAATCCAATGGATGATCTCTTACAACATTGGTAGGTTGGAGCACTTGCACTTGATTGCTTGCATTTGATTGATCACTTGGTTGAGATGATGAA